TGCATTAATCTCACTTATTTTATCTTTATCACATGCCGTAAGGTAATATTTAAGTTTTTGCTTTATAACTAAGCAATTTTTTCCCTGAAACTGTCAACTTTTCAGAAGGAATCATCTCCTGCTCATAAAGAAGGCTATCAAAACTAAATGGGCCATTGTAGAACATCACAACAAGACTTTGGTAATTACCCCTTCACACCCATGAAGAGGCTACATGCAAAAAGATTTGTCCCATCAAGCCTGAATACTGGAAGAAGGAAATAAAGATATTAAACAAAACATTTTTTCATCTCTTTTGCTGTTTTGACTCTCACAGGGCTGGAGCTGCGAAACAGAAGCAGAGTTCCTGAGAGTCAACCTAGGTTGGCCCTTGTCATGCTGTCTGGAGTGGCTCACCAGTCAGGGAAGACTGTCAGAAAACAAGGGCAGACACCCCAAACTGGTGGTATGTTTTGTAGTTAGATTTCACCAAGCAAACAACAAATGTGAACTCCTGGATCATTATATCAGTCTTACCATGGAGTCACAGACAGTCCCCTTAGCCTCTCCAGTCTATCTTGTAACCCAGACAAACTGAACTTTGTGATAAAAGTTTATAAAAAAAAACAAAAATCACACCACATCAGGTTTCTCCCCATCCCAAAAGATCAGTCTCTTATCACAGATCAATTGATACTCCAGATCTTACACCAAAAGACAATGCTGGCAGATTTATTAGCTAAGAAAAAAAAGTGAGAATTATTGAGATATTAAAGCAGGTAATTTGTAACTCCAAATGGTGGCAGTGATATAATAAACTGCCAGTCTCCCAAAAATCTTTTCAGGGTATCCAATCTGTCTCTGGGGATCCCAACTTTGCATCTGGCACACTTCCCTGTAAGAGTCCACCATCCTTTCTTGAATCCATATTTATAGCTCCTTTACACAGAAAGGAAGCTGAGAGTGTCTTTACTCAAATGGCTTTCCTTTGATGTGAGAGAGAGAGGAATGCATTTTGAATCTCTGACCTCCGATCATTATACACAATGACCATTTGCTTTGAAGCTAGCACTCTCCATTTGCATTCCATAAGGCATCATTGGAGTTTGATGGGTTATTTACTCACAGGTGTACACACAATGTAAATGTTTGCTATTGCATTGCACAGGAACAGATAAGTGAGAACAAGACAAGTAGCGGCCCATTAGTTTCCATGAAGTTTAAACACCCTATACACTCTTTTGTATTCAACAATTACTTTGATCTATCCAAATAGAAAGTAAATTGGCCTGGACTGACCTGGTCTGCCATCAACGCAGCCCTAAGAGACATTTATAGTGCTAACAAAAACAACAAGGAGTCTGGTGGCACCTTAAAGACTAACAGATTTATTTGGGCATAAGCTTTCGTGGGTAAAAACCTCACTTCTTCAGATGCATAGAGTGAAAGTTACAGATGCAGGCATTATATACTGACACATGGAGAGAAGGGAGTTACTT